TAGACCCAACTCTTCTAGGGGCAACCAGCTTGTTCTTATTTTGGACCATGAAACTGTTTAAATAGTGATGATATTCAGGATGGTTTGAATTTTGGACCTGTCAATCAGATCTACATCCATCTAGGCTTCCTGGAAAGACACAAACCTCTTTTAAATGAAGGGGTTGCTCTGTTTAACTGAGAAGCTATGTAAATACATTCTTTTAAAGTGGTGTTTTGCTTTGGTGACTTTCTAAGCCAATCCAAACACTAGAGTAGCAGGCTTTGGAACTAACTGTAAATAAGATTTCAGAAGATTGAGAATAGCAGCAAATAATGAACTGTGACAAAGTATCCTAGGAAAAAGAAGTACATAAATGACAGAAATAGTCGAAGTAAAGGGGAGTTTAAATCTCAAGACTATCCCAAACGTCTTGAAAAGATTTTAATATAGTAAATAAATCATTTTAGGGAAAATGTGTGTGCAAACAAACCATAGAAGTTTCCTCTAAATTCTATAATTGAAATTAGGCTAGACTCAATACCTGGAAACCACCATCAATACAGGTGATAAATAACTGAAAATTAACAACATATAATAGGAGGAAGAACACTTCCTTCCTTCCTCAAATATATACATATTATATATATATATATATATATAATATATATATACACACACACACACATATATATATATATACACACATACACACACACACACACACACCCTCAGGGATGTAATTATGAGGACATAACCAGCCTGAACTTGCTTTTTAAGACATTTGTTTCAAATTATTGTATATAAAATCAATTATTTAGGAGGATAAAGGTCCAGAATTTCAGAGGTCTAATCAGCTCTATCTATATCTAATCTTCTCCTCTATTCAGTTTAGGATAATTCCCTGCATTTTCCTTCTACCACAATTTTCTTTACGTGAAAGTCCTCGCACCTTTTTAAGCTAAGTATTTGAGAGCCTCATAGTAGAGAATAATTTAAGAACAAAAACCAAACCAAACAAAAACAAAAACAAAAAAACAGCTCTTTAGAACTGAAGCTTGCCTTTGTCATGCAGTGAAATCTCTTCTGTTTTGCAGGCTTACTCTCTAGCAAACCTTCTCCAGACTTTAGCTGAAAAGGATGTCCCAGCGGGGCAATGGGGTCTGAAATTCCGCAGTTGTCCCCCGCCTCCCCGCCCCCATTCCGTCTTCACACAATCATAACATTCCCATGAAAAGGCAGCGTGCAAGCCGCCTCTAAAAACACTAGGACACATTAGGTATAAGTTTGCCCTCTCTGACTCTTCCCTCACTGACCCTTGTGCAGAGAAATGCGTTATCTAATTGAGAAATATTGAGGCGCATGACTGAGATTAAGCATTTTGCAGTTAAATATCCCATTCTTAGGACATTGCTCAAAATATCCGGGGCTTTTTTCTTCGAATACGCTGACGTTTTTCCCTGAGAATAAACTTAAAGGTGGAAATCCTTTGACGTTTTCGGACTTCCCTTGTCTCGGACTTGGGGTTTTCTTTGTAATGCTCAAGACTTAAAGGGTGACCCTGGTAGAGGTTTTTAATAGTCGCTGTTTTCCTGCAAGCGAACTGTCCTGGTGTTTGATGTACTATATCTAGACTAGATCGTAGTGGAGACGTTTACTTAACAGTTAATTTTTATTTTAAGCGATCCCCCCATCCTTGATCATTTTAGAAATGAGTCTCCTGGATATTTAAAGTGAACACCAACTCCAGATTACATCTTCCCGTCTAACCCAGTTGATATTACTTTAGGGGTTTGTGTGTGTGTGTTTGTCTTTTAGAAAAGGTGGAGCAGTCTTCTGGTTTTCAACAGGTCAGACGCGTGGGCAACGCGGCAGACCAGGTATTTACAATGGGAACACATCAGATCCTCCGCGATCTTCGGAGGCAGGCGCCGCCGGGATCAGCTTAGTCCCTACTAGAGCCACCGCCGCCGCAGCCTAAGGCATCAAAGATCAGACGTGTCTAGTTCTCGAATCACCGAGCACTGACACTCCCTGGGTAGCGGGCGCATTTCACTTGGCCACCTGGAGCTTCGTGGCAGTATTTCCCCGACACTTTTCCTAAGGGTGGGGAAGAGGAGGGGCGGGGGGAGTGGATAATCTGGCTGGATCCAGGAGGGAGGCGAGAGGAGCACAACTTAGGTAGCCTAGGTTAGTCTACGGTACCCTGAGAGCAGCCGCACCCACTTCAGTAAGTGGAGAAGAGGAGCACGCAGTAGGAGTGAAGGCTCAAGGCCGCCCAAAGTTTCTGGGCATCTCTGTCCCCACGCAATTAGATGGATGCCTCAAAGCTTAGTTATTGAACAAAACTACAGGCCATACAAGAGAAAAGGCTGGGTGCTTGACTTCTGAACATATACACAACTCGAGTGCCCCAGTCCCTGCCGCCCTAGGGTCCTTTGTGCTTCCTCTCTTCCTCTTCCGACGCCTTCCCTCACTACCAGCTCTGACACCCCCCACCACCACCACGTTACTTCCCTCCTGCGCCTCCCCAATCCCCCCCACACCCGCCCAGACTGTCCTCTGGGCAGGTTACATTTCAAGGCAGGATGAAAAGGGTCAGATTTCTGTTCACACGGTTAGAGCAGGCTCCACCGTGGGCTTGATACAAAGAGGAGGGCGGTGTGGTAAGACGGGTTTTGGGGGTTGGTTGTGGTGGTTGTTGTTGTTGCTTTGATTTGTTTATTTTTAAAGACAGCTTCACGCTAAGGCTGTCGATCCTCTCTCTACTCCACTAGACTCAGCCACGGGCTTTTTCCTTGCTGGAGCAAGCCCTCCTTGTCTCCGGTTCTTATCTCCTTCTCACTCCTTCCCCAGCTGATGCTTTTTCAGATCTGCCTCAGAGTGTTCTTCCCTCTCCGGGTTTCCTTGGTTCCTCTTCCTTCTACCTTCTAGTTTGGGTTGGGGTTGTGGATAGGTACTAAGTAGGTCAGGGAGACACCTGGGGCTGTCTATTATCCTGGGAAGAATGGGACTTAAAGGGGAAAATCTAAGGTCTAGGAGGTCTAGGAGAGAATCTTAATTTATTTTTCTCAGTGGCGGTCTAGGTTTTGTTTGTTTGGTTGGCTGGTTGGTTTTAAGGGTCTAGTAAGCTTCGTTTTGCGCCTCTGCACAACCTACACATAAAAATAAAAAATTAGCTTTAGGGCGGTAATGCCTGGGATCCGAAACAGGGGAAGGCGGGGGAACCCGAAGACTAACTTTCGGTCAGCTCGGTCTTAGCCATTCTATACGCAAAGCCGTATAGCTGATTTAAATAGTATTTTCAGTACTTGAAGAGTGAGGTTTGGAATTTCTTTCAAAAATAGAAAGTTTTGAAAAACGTGGAAGAAACTGGGCCAGAGCTTTAGAAAGTGATTTTTAAAATTGTTCAACCAAAAAAATCAGTTTAAACCTAAGTTCACAGACACTGCTTTCTCCCATTTTCCATTGCTCGATTCTCCCTAACCCTTTACTCTGTGACTTGCCTGCCCGCTCTTACTGAAAATCGAGACAACTACGTGGGTGTATAAGCAAAATCAAATTTCCAAAACTTTTCTAGCTCCAAGTATTTGGATTTTTCAGGTTCCAAGTAAATACTGAATTATCCATCTAATTTCCCCAGTTCTCCATGACACCAGGTGCAGTCATATCACTTAGGGTTACCTTCCAGTTTGCGAATACCTTCGCTCCCAGGGCGGGAAAATGAAAATGCAACCCCAAAAAAGCGAATGAATCACACATAACTAGGTGCTTTAAAAGACGTGGAAATAGAGTTAAGGAAGAAATTGAACTATTCTGTTATCGTGGTAGCTCTTCCGACCCGTTTCAGGAAATCTAGATTCCAGTCTCCTTTGAGCGAACCCTATGTTCCCAAATATTCTGAGCTGGAGAAGCAATGGAAATTTGGGGAGAGAAAACAAATCTCTAATAGAACAGTTTTAAGAGGATAGGAGGAAAAACCGTCTACATATGAGACTGCGATCATGTGAGCTTTGGAACCACGGATCCCGAGAGGGGAAGAGCCCAGAGGGCAGTCTCCCTTTTAGACTTCTGCCAAACACGCGTGCGCACAGCACAAACACACACGCACGCACAGAGCCACGCGTTTGAGGTTGTTCTCTAAACATAGCTCAGAAACTTTGTTTAGGACCGAAAGTGACCGGGGTGGGGGGAGTGTTGGGGGGGGCGGGTGCCGAAACCAAAAGTCTTGCACTCAACACCTGATTCTTAGTCTCAGCGTCAGCACAATTTCCCTACATCGATCAGAGAAATGCGGTAACACTCGCCCCGGGGTCGACCCGATTGCGCCTTTCCCCGCCCGCAGCTCCCAAGAACCGGAGGTGCAGCGGCTGCTTTCCCACGCTTGGAAACTACCCACTGGCTCTAGGCTTTCGCAAAGGACACCCCTCCTCCCAGTCCCCTTGCCCCCTCCCCCCAGTCCCCTTGCCCCCTCCCCCCGCCCCGATCGCCTCTCAGCCACCAGCCAATCCCAAGCGCTCCCGACTCCGAGAGGGGGCGGGCTGATGCTGCCCATCAGGAGCTTTTCGGTCCAATAGGCGGCGCCTGCGGGGGAGCCAGCCGCGGGGGGGGGGGTGGATGGGGTTACACCCGGGACAGTACGCGGGGGGGAAGGGGGCGTGCCTGGAGACTGGGCACTTGCGCTCGCTGGAGGTAGGGACTGCAGCGTGGGAAAGAGCAAACAGGAACAGACCGCTGCAGCCGCCTCCGTCGTGCCGCGCTCTCCAGGCTCTGCGCTACGCTGCAGACCCTCGAGGGGAGGGGTAGGGGGGAGAGGAGAAAAAGAAAAGCACCCGGGTGGGTATTTATTCCTCATTAGCCTGCCTTGTGCATCCCCCCGGTTCGCCAAGATGAAGCGACCTTGTGAGGAAACTACCTCAGACAGCGACATGGATGAGACCATAGACGTGGGAAGCGAAAACAATTACTCGGGGTGAGTGTGAGTAGCTCAGGTGGTGGGGAGACGAGGAGGGGATTCTTTCCATCGGGAGTTGTTCTAGGGTTGGCTGGAGCAGGGCAAAGAGAGATCCAGGTGGTCCCCTAACCTTTCAGCGTGGCCAAGGCTTTGTGGGAAACTCCTAGTGTGGGTGAGCATCTCTTGCGAAATCTCGGGGAGTATTTACCTCCCGGGCATCCTGGAGGAGACCAGAAAACTTGCCTGTGAAAGTATCCGCGCTTAGTTGAGTAGTGACGTTAGGGAGTTATATGGGGCATTGTATTGTTTTTGAGGACTTTGTGGTTTTTTAATCCTTTGGGGGTAGGGTGGAACACGAGGAAGGTGAGACGTTCTGTGGTTGTGGGAGATTTAATGAGCCATTGACTTCGAGGCGATGGATCACCTGTAGCTGTCATACCCCGTTGGTGACTTTGCAAAGGACTAGGTAAACTTCAGGTGTCCCAGCTCCTGAAGGTCCAGTCGGGAGCCCTTTCGAAAATGGGACTGTAGGAGCAAGAAAAACGAATGATTTCTTTTTTCTCTTTTCACCGAAGAGTTCAAAAGCGTTCACTGGAAATCTTGAGGCGATTTTATAATGTCCAGACTGGCTAGGTGGCGCTTTGTGGAATAAGCATATGTGACTGGCAATCCAGAAATAAAATGACCTTCTATTATAAGGGTGTTTTCGGGCATCATCGTTTTCACACGGGTATCAGCATGATTATTAGGACTGAAAAAGAGTTGGGTCATGTTAGTAGAAAACAAATCACCACTTCACATGACAGAGTTAACCTGGCATTTTAGTGCCAATGCAGGTCAAGTTATAATTGCTTCTAATTAGCATTCCCAGGAGCTGTTAAATTATTTACTTTCAACTAAGTGTCATTCAGAGGTCAGGATTCTTGCCTTTTGGAAATTACTTTTCTTTGGTATTTTCACAGAAATCCAAACACCAAAAAGCCAAAGTTATTTGAAAAGTTTAAAAACTCTTCTGTCCCAGTAGTTTTCAAAGTGTGATCTGAGGACTCAGGGTCTTTGAGGTCAAAACTTCTTTCATAATAATGCAAGATATTTTAATGATATTTTAATTTCTAGCACAGCGTACATGGATATGTTTAAACCCGTATAAATAAAAGCTTTTGGGGTCTTCAGTAATTTTTGAGTATATAAGGGACTAAAAACTTTGAAAACTGCTATCTGTCTAATCTTGTTAAGTGTTTCCCAAAGTGCAGTATGTCATAGCTCAAAAACGAGGCTGATGGTGAAGAAGACATTGAAGAAAAGGAGGAATGTTTGAGACGGGAGTGAAAAGGAAGGAGCAGGGCTAGTTATAGTGGAATTCTAAGACAGGAAGCAGTTCTGACCATCTTTTCTGAAAGGAAACAGCACAAATAACAAAAACAGCAAATTCATGAACATAAGTTGCGCATTATGACATCTTTGCACATTATGAAAAAAGAAGTGTCTTACTAATTAAGAGTGACTACAAAATGAATGAGACAGTGAATTCAAGATGCAGTTTCCAGACTACACTTTATAGGTAGGTTTAAACCTAGACTGTTTTTTTAAGACTGGAAGGTTTTCAACTACAAGTCTCAGATTCATTTTCAGAGTGAAGAAGATTTATCTGACCATTCCGCTTTAGTTTGATGCATGTGTGTTAATAACTTATTTGATTCACAGTGTTCTGGAAGTTAGGTACATATTAAAGTTTAATTTTTCTTGTGCTAAGAAATAAAATAAGATAGCTTTTGTTTATTTTAATAATTGGATCGAGTGACATATTACCAGAATGTGTCTGTTTGATAACAAGACTTTAATGTGACCTTTATTTTAAAATAGCCTTGCTTTTCCAGTGCCAGAGAAGGAAATGCCATCAGAGGTTAGCTGACTTTTGAAAAAAATCTAAGTGGAACTATGAAGTGTCTAAACCTACATACTTTTCACTAAGGCTTTCCATAATTGTTTCAGTGAGTTATAGGTAGAGGCTCAAAACAGTGTTTTCTTATGGCCTTGATGCCAAGACTATCCATTAAAAGATGTAATTCAAACCTAGAGAGAGAGACCAGAAGGCCTAAAAAGCAAAATGTGGTAGAAGTGAAGGAAGAGTTAAGAATAAAGGACCAAACACTTAGGGGAGTAGTATAATCGCTGAATATTTAATAGGTGGCATCAGGTACTCACAAGGAACAATCATTGTGTTATGTAGCACCTGACACATTCTTACTGTTTTATAGGCAAAGTACGGGCTCTGTGATTCGATCAAATTCTCCAACAACAACATCTCAGATTATGGCGAGAAAGAAAAGAAGAGGGGTATGTATACTGTTTTTCCCCCCCCTCTTTCTTTGATTTCATGAAATCAGTCTAACATGTAACTTTCTATCTTTCCACTATGTGTAATTTCACTATTCATGTATTCATAAACTTTCTTGTTTTGTTTTATTTCTTTTGGGACAGATTATAGAGAAAAGGCGTCGTGATCGGATAAATAACAGTTTATCTGAATTGAGAAGACTTGTGCCAACTGCTTTTGAAAAACAAGTAAGTTGCTTTCCTCCCCTCTTAAAATTCGTGTATGTACGCTCTCACAAACACAGATTCTCTCATCTAGTAATGTGGGTTCTTGTTAAAGCTCATTAAAATAATAGTGTATGTGTCCTGATCTGGCATAAAGCAGCCATTTCAATAAAATGCTTTGTTGTGGCAAAACTATTAAAAACATAATCCGTCATGAAGCCGAAAAACATTTCCATTCTTTTGCTTCTTTTTCCCTTAAGGGTAGGAGTGTTCATGCTTTCTCTGTTCTTTCTATGAATACCAGTAGTGGTTTTGTTTAAAAATGTGCTGCGTGCAGTATGCTTCAAAAAAGAATGAAATGTAAATTACACTTCTGTCTCAAATTGTGTTTTTTTATTTAAACACTTTTTCTTATTAAAAAAGACAGCAATCCCAGAAATAGTATATCTAACCCACAATCTTAAAATATAAACTGATTTACCAAGCCATTTACTTTCATTTTAATGCCTTGTTATTAGCCTGTTTGATTTGAAGCATCCTTTTAAAAGTCTAGTATGGTCAAACTTGACCACATAATTAACCATTTCAGAATAGAAATACACCTTTAAAAAATAAACAGCCCTTTGCACAAGTAAGAAAGTAGAGACCTGGTCAGTTTCAAAGCTGCTTGCTTCATGGCTCAAGAAAAAGTCGTATTTAAACTACCTATACAAATCTGCTGGCAGCACAGACACCAGAGAGCATCCTTCAAAGGACAGAAACATATGATGGAAATATTTTCAATTTAGTTCAAACAGGGTATGAGACAACAGTTATTTGTTCCATTTTATTGTTTACTTCATGAACACCACAAACATTATAATACAACCCCTACAAAGTCCTTGGAAAATACCCAGAAACTGCAATTTTGAGTTATTAGTCACTCTCAGTGAAACTACTTGTACCGTCTCTATGGAAAAGATTAACACTGAGAAAAAGTACAGCTTGTAATACCCTATTAATTATAACTCCTTAATGGGAGAAAAGTTCCCAAAAAGACACTTATTCTATATCTTGAGTCTTTCCATAAGGGGAAACATAATGTTAAAAAAGTAATTTTGATGAGGAATGCTTTGAATCCTTCTATGCTGTTATTAAAATATCAATTATCAATGCTTTTTTAAAATGTTCTGATTACTGAAAGTCTGTCCACAGTTATTAGAATCACTTGGTTTAGGAATTTTTTTGGTTTGTTAGATTTTTCTTAAATATTGACTTAAAACAACTTAAGCTTTAAAAAACAAACCTCTGTTCTCTGGCAGTAAGTTATTATAAACACATGGGTCTCACATTTGCAGAGTTTGGTTACCAAGAACAGAGAGTTAGAACTTGTCATAGTATGATTAGAAGAGTATTCTTTCATGGAAATAAGTGACTTGGGGACCCTCACTATGGACTGAGTTCTGGTACTATCCATTTAAAACAAGTAAAGCTTAGAAATCGAAACCAAATCTTAGCCTCTGTTTTGAAAACATAAGAATTTAATATGTTATACATTATCTATCCAGCTTTTGCTGGCAAGTCAAGCAGCCTTAAGAGATATCTGTGTGTTCCAGTGGCTTTTCATAGGTATCTTTACAAGGAAATAATTTCAACATTTTTAAATGTCTGAGGTTCCTCTCTGAAGGAGCTCACAGTCTGATCAAGAGGACGCATATACAAATAAATAACCAAAGCAAAGCAAAATGGGAGAAAAAGTATTTCTAATTAAACTATGGAGAAACTATCGCAACCTTTAAAAAATGATTCAAAGGTCCTTAAGAATTTAAAATATTACCCAGATTAGAACTGAGTTTTCCTCTCATATTTTGGATATTGATACACAGAGTGACACCTGCTGGTCAAAACTGAAAAGGGTTTTGTTTTGGGTTTTTTGGGTTTTTTGTTTTTCTTTCATCCAGGGAGGGACTTTGCTGATAAGGAACTAATGGATTACTTTAATGGCAAAATCATTTTCCCTTTCAGAGCCTATTATTTTAAAAAATTCATTTTTGAGTTATTAAAGTCATTAAGTCATTAAAATCATGTATACTTTGTATCGTATAATAATCGATAAGCCTGCAATATCCTATAATACTATTTTAACATCCAAAGTAAGACAAAGGACATTTTTTCCCAAGATAAAAAATAGATACAAAGCTTTTTATCCTATGCAACTGTACAGTTTTTAATTTGGTATTTTAATATGCATAAAAAATATATGACACTGTCAATATAGCAGATTCTTTTTTTTTTTGCATTTCATGAGGTGATCTCTTTTTTTAAAAATTAATGTATTTCTTTTTAGTTTTCAACATTCACTTCCATAATATTTTGAGTTCTGAATTTTCTCCCCCTCCCTCCCCTCCCTAAGATGGTATACAATCTGATACAGGCTCTACATATACATTCATATTAAACATGTTTTTATATTAGTCATGTTGTAAAGAAAGATTAGAACCAATAGGAGGAACCACGAGAAAGAAGAAACAAACAAAAAAAAAGCAAATAGCATGCTTCGATCCGCATTCAGACTCCATAGTTCTTTTTCTGGATGTGGATAGCATTTTCCATTATGAGTCTTTGGAAGCTGTGTCAGATCCTTGCATTGCTGAGAAGAGCTAAGTCTATCAAAGTCAGTTATCGCACAATGTGGCTATTACTGTGTACAACGTTCTCCTGGTTCTGTTCACTTCACTCAGCATCAGTTCATGTAAGTTTCTCCAGGTCCTGAAAGTCTTTTATAAGGTCAAATATTTTATTAGACCTCCAGTCATTCTTTAAAAGTAGATGTGGTAAGTATTACAAGCTATGGCATAGTATGAATAGTTCCAGCTATTCAGTGATTTACCATGAAGTCTGGTAGGCGTCTAAGATATATTCTGGGAAGAAATTAAACTAATAATGCTCTGATAGCAAGGAAAATTAAAACCATAACATTAAGTTCAGTGAAAAGTATGCTAAATTAGAACCTGCAGGATTTATAAGGCTTTATTATTTTTATTCTTCAAGGGATCTGCAAAATTGGAAAAAGCAGAAATACTGCAAATGACAGTGGATCATTTGAAGATGCTTCAAGCCACAGGAGGTAAAAGTAAGTTACTTTCTCTCTGTACCTTTTTTTTTATTTAAATATCGTAAACCCAGAGCTGAACAGTTTTTTAACATGCTGGTATAGGCAGTCCCAGATTAAAGCAGTGGAAATCAATGCTAATGACAGGATTAAACTCGTGGGAAAGGACTGCTGGAACAAAAGAAACACTTGACCCTGGGCTTGTGTTTGCTTTCATAACACTGTGGGAGTAAAGGCTTCATTCACGGGCAGCCCAGTCAGAGATTTGTTTGGGGCTTCAGAAGAGCACTGAAATCTGCATGGGGAGACAAAACAAACACGCAAACATCCAAACATAAACAGGAGGTTGGCGACAACCATTAGGCTGCACCAAAATTCTAATGCTAGAATTTGATATAATGTAGATATCTGTAAGGAAGTGAAAATTCTTTGTTGTTTTGGATAGCTTTTGTTTGATGCAGGGTGAAGGGGAGTAGAAAGCTATTTTAAATAACCAATAATAAACCTCTGTATTTCACACAATTAATGGAAATAACTGTTCCCAGGTTCTAGGCCCCAGATTTAGGTACCATGGGGAGTGGACTGGGCAGTGGTTTGATGGAGGTAATGGGAAGATGAGAAGGGAATACTTCTATCAGTTAGGGATCTCGTTTTTAAAAAGACCTAAAGGGCCTATAAACGGTCCTATTTCCTTACATGCACATCCCTCAGGTTTTACATATAGCCTTTGTATGACTGTTTCCTCTCATAGGATGTCCTTAATGTTTATTTTAACCACCTTATAAAGCCATTTAGGGAACACTTGTACAGTGTGATTTCCCTCAGGCCCTACCCTCCCAAGTAACAGATTGGTGTAACTGTAAAGGACAGTGGACAAAGTTTAGTCAGGAAACCTGGGGTTTAGTCCTATTATACCACTTATTGTGTGACTCAGAAAACTCACTTGAAATAGCAGTAAAAGCAACTGTACTACCCACCTCACTGAGCTGTTGTGGACTAAAGGCCTTTGCAAACTGAAGTGCTAGGTAATCGAAAAAGTAAGACCCGGCCTCAGACACTAGTTGTGACCCTGGGCAAGTCACTTTAACCTCTGTTTGCCTCAGTTTTCTTACCTGTAAAATGAAGATTAATAATAGCACCTACCTCCCAGGGTTATCATGAGAATCAAATGAGATAACTGTAAAGTACTTAGCACATAGTAAGCACCATTATAAGTGTTATTATTACTGAAGTTAGACATAATGAATAAAATTTTGATTTCTGTTTTATGAAAATGTAAGCCAGAAGTATAAGATATACCCTGTCTCTGTAGTTGTTCAAACAGAGGCTGGATAAACTGCTTATCAGGAATGTTATAAGGAGGAATCATGCTTTTAATAGGGGTTGGACTAAGGACTTCTGAGGTCCCTTCTAACTTTATTTTTACTGATGAACAATCAGCAAATGAAAATCTCTGACCTTAACAGGGCCAGATTAAATTAGAAGGTCGTTAAAACACTGTCCACCAAGCACCATACTAGATACCAAGAAAAATGCAGGATTTAGATTAAACAAAATCCTGCCTTCAAGGAGTTTACAGTCTAGTCTTAGGATAAGATGATACAATCACTCATAACCACAATACAAAAGTAAATACCAGCTGCACTTCCTTGAAATGTGGCTGGCTTTCTTATATTTGAATTATCATTTTGAGCCCTAGTCAGAACAGTTCTGAAGTTTGCCTCAAAAGAAAACATTTTTTTTATTCTGGTTTTTTTTCGGTGAGGCAATTGGGAGAGAACATGTATTTTTTTTAAAAGTTCATAGTGTCTGTTCATGGTAGGTAATTTAAAAAATAATTAGGTAGGTGGTGGATAAAGGTTTGGGGAAGAAATATGAAGTTATCATGTCTCTTAGTCGATAGAACATCCTTTGTCAAAGATTTTCAGCCTTGAGCTGTGGCTAGATTCTAATTTATTTTTTTAACACCTTTTTTTTTACTTCTGTCTGCATTTGGCATTTGTAATTTGTATTATTTTTTAGTTAACATTAAGAAACAGCAAACTGCTCAGGCCTGTAAGTTACATAATGAAGTATGATGTTGGAATGTGTTCAGTTTATGGCTATAAAGGAAAATTTCCTGGGAGTTTCTGGAATAAATTGTATTGGCCTATCTTCTATTTCCTTTGTAGCTATGAACAAGCTGAGTAATGTCAGTTTCTAAAGCCATTTGGGCTCTGTCTTATTAGAATAATGCTTCATTCTCTTGCCTCTGATTTATACTGCTCTGGGAGATTTGATCTTCTGACTTCGTTAACTTGAGAACTTAGAAGATAATGCACTTTCCATTGAGGGTTCTTCTACTTCAGAAATATCTTTGCTTCCTGATCTAAAATGTAATTTGTTAATAGCACTATTAATATGTTAGGGGTAATTATAGCTCTCTTTTGTACTTATCTAACACCTTTCAGTTTACCTAATTCAGGGGTAGGAAAACTTCAGCTTCAAGGCCACATGTTGCCCTCTAAGTCCTCAAGTTCGGCCCTTTGACTGAATCCAAACTTCACTCAGGGGTGGGAAACCTGCAGCCTGGGAGGCCACAGATTCCCCACCACTGGATTTATTAGCCATACATTCTTTTCGATAAAGTGTCTTTTTACCTCTAAATATGTTTCCAAGACTTCCAGACTTGTAATTCTAAGTATAGAATTTTTAATACACGGGACATGTATTTCTGCAAGGTGTTTTGGCTATAGAATATAATGGTCATAGAATCTTAAAGTCAGATAGGACCACAGAGGAAATCTAGTCCAACCCTGTACCTTGACAATAATTTCTTCTACCTCATCCCTGAAAAATGGTCATCTACGACCTTTCTAGTAATTGATATGTGTAACAGAATCCACAAAGGATTTCTTCTCTGTCGAGTAGTTACGAAAGATGACAGTTATATGTGATTACATTATCTCTTACATACCTACACACGTATATACATGGGTTCATGGAAAGATTTCATCCTGAGTGTGAAAAAATAACTGGAAATGGCATTAAATCAAGTTAGAGAGAGAGAGAGAACACTACTACATACTTAGGATCATAGCTCTAAGAGCTGGAAAGGACTGTTCTCAACCTTCATTTGTAGATGAAGAAACTGAAGTAGATTAAGTGCTGCTGTCGCACAAGTAATTGACACCAGAGATGAGATTTGAACCTGGGTCCTCTAGTTCCAAAGCCCATATTCTTTCTACCAACTCTAAAAAAATCTAAAAAACCCATTAAATATCTAAAGATTACTCTTTGAAACAAGTAGTGAACTTACCCCCATGTTTATTATTGCCCACTACTTTTGTTTTTCCTACATATACAGATATGTGAAGGAGCTGTGATTTCATCAGTGGGTAGAATTCCCAGTGTGGGAACCCCCTTCATCAACCCTGATCACTGTCTCCAACCTTAAGTTCTAGGAATGTGTTTGAGATTCATTGAGGTTAAATGATTTGCCTAAGGTAACACAGCTAGAAAGTGTCATTGGAGATATTTGAACCCAGGTCTTTTTGACTTCATACCTATCGCTATTTACTGTGCTGCATTGCTTCTGTTTTCCCCTATAGATGTAATCTATTCTACTTAACATATATTATGTTCTAATTAAAGGGATAGTTTTTCATTAACTGTAGCATAGTAGGAAGAACCATGGCTTTTACATTCATGGGATCATAGGTTTTAGAAGGAGTCTTTTGAGGCCATTGAGTCTGGCCCTTCTCATTTTTAAAGAGGTAAAGAAACAAATTCGTTGTTGGTAGAATTGTGAAATGATACAATGATTTTGGAGAGCAATCTGAAATCATGCCCAAAGAGTTATTAAATTGCCTATACCTTTTTTTGTTTTTTTGGTGAGGCAGTCGGGATTAAGTGACTTGCCCAGGGTCACACATCTAGTAAATGTCAAGTGCCTGGATGTGAATTTGGGTCCTCCTGACTCCAGGGCTGGAAAGTTATCTTCGTTTTTGGTTTTGGTTTTTTTTTTTAAGGCAGTTGGGATTAATTAGTACATATCAAGTGTCTGGTCTGAGGCCAGATTTGAACTCAGGTCCTCCTGACTCTAGGGCCAGTGCTCTATCCACTGAACCACTAGCTGCCCCTTAGCCTATGCCTTTTGACCCAACAATACCACTATTTGGTCTGTTTCTGGAGATACATAGGGAAGGGGGCGGGAAGAAGAGGAACCTCTATGTGTTCTAAAATGTTTATAGCAGTTCTCTTTGTGGTGGCAAAGAACTGGAAATTGCAGGGATGCCCATCAGTTGGGGAATTGGCTGAACAAGTTGTGGTGTATGATTGTAGTGGAATATTGCTAGGCTATGAGAAACGATGAACTCAACGATTTTAGAGAAACATGGAAAGAACTGCACAAAATAATGAAGAACAAATTGAGGAGAACAAATAGAACATTGTATCAGTAATAAAAATATTGGCGGTTTTTTGGTGAGGCAGCTCGGGTTAAGTGACTTGCCCAGAGTCACACAGCTAGGTGTTATGTGTCTGAGGGCAGATTTGAACTCAGGTCTTCCAGACTCCAGGGCCAGTGCTCTATCCACTGTGCCCCCTAGCTGCCTCTAACAATATTGTTTTAAGAGTAATTTTGAGCGAATAAGTTATTTTGATTAATATAAATACCCAGATTAACTATAAAGGACATATAAAGAAAGATGCTATCTGCATCCAGAGAAAAACTCATAAATAGAAATATGTATAGAATAATTTCACATATATATACCTATTTGTGTCCATCTTTAGGGCTGGGGTGAGAGCGAGGGAAGGAAGGAAAAAAAGACATTTCTGTGATTATTTTATATTTAAAAGGACTAGCAAGTTGTACATAATAGATTTGCAGTTTTATGTGCTGTCACCTTTTTTATTGTACTGTATTATAGAAATGCTTGTTTTATTCCATAAATTAAAAAAAAATTTAAGTAAACACACTATAGCACAGAGAATTTAAGTGATTTACCCGGGGTCATATAGCTAGTAAGTTTCTAAGGCAGTATTTGAACCCATATCTTCCCTACTCTTCTTCTTCCTCCCATAGTTAGAAGATTTGAGTTTCTGGAATGCCTTCAATAGCAAGAGTCTGAGCTTTATCCTATAGCAAATGGAGAACCATTGAAAGTTTGAGGAGTGGAACAGCAAATAAAAGCTTCCCTCCAGGAAACCTGATCTAGAAATGTATCGAGGGTCACTTGTAGAAAAGAGAAACTAGAGGCAGTGACTAATTAAGGGACCTGAACCACATTTCAAGCATGAGGTGATAAGAACCTGGGCAGACTTGAGACTATGATGACTTCATCAGGATTAAGAAGAATTATATGTAATGTAAAAACCAGTAATAAAATGTCATTAAGAAAAAAAGAAACTGAGGCCTAGTCCAGCTTTACTACTACCCAAGTGAACTTTGGCAAATCAATTAGCCTCTTGGCTTCAGTTTTCTCATCTGTAAAGTGAAGAGCTAGAACAGATGATCTAAGCTTCAAATCTTATGATGATATGACTCACCTTTGAGCCAGTTATGAGACTAATTTCAGGAGTGAGTGTGTGTGTGTGTGTGTGTGTGTGTGTATGAGTGTGTATATATATATATATATATATATATATATATATATATATATAATATATTATATATATATATATATATATATATATATATATATATATATATATAAAGTATATACACCCACTTACTTATTGGACTGTTCTTGGAAAAGTGCCAAATAAACATATGCTTAAGAATGAGCAGCATTTATAATAAAATTCAATGAAGTTAAGAATTCCATTAGGTATCTCATATTATTAAGCAGCCTTGTACTGGTTGGCAGAAAACCGATTAATATAGCTCTTCAAATTAGTAACTGAATTACACTTAAAAAAACCTCATTTTGTTTCCTCTGAGACTTTTTTCTTCATGAGGAGCGTGACAAGATGTTTTCAGTTTGCTTTTAAGTAACACAACATGTCAAGATGCGCTCAGAATTTTACTAAGCAGACACTATCCTAATAAAAGGACTAAAGAAAGTCCCCAGACTGTCAAAATGTATGTGGTGTTTAGCATGTAGGTTATAAAGCCCAACACCAGAAAGAAAGGGGCAGGATGCTATAGACAGATCCTTTAATCTTCAATCCATGTTGTGTGTAAAGGAGACAGAGAGACTAGATCTCTATTACCATGAAAAGGCCTGCCATGGAATTCCACTCTCCCACAGTACAAGAAGAGAGCGATAGCATGTTTTTTGAAGAGTCTGAAACATGAATGTTCTTAATTTCTTTTTCCACTGTGATATTTGGTTGCAGGAATTGTCGCATACTGTATTGCTAGAGTTTGTTACACGTGTAAATTACCAAATACACTTTTTAAAAACTTCTATAAAACTAAAAAATACAAATAACTGTTCTAAGTGTTTAGAAGGAAGAGATTCTAGCTAAATCTGAGCAAGGACAAAGTGGAACATTGGCTGGTATTTTTTGTTTCTCCTTTCTCACTCTTTCCCTCCCCCCCCCCTTTTTTTTCCCTTTTTCCTTCCCCAATTCTATCTTTCAGGTTATTTTGATGCCCATGCACTTGCCATGGATTTCATGAGCATTGGATTCCGAGAATGCTTAACTGAAGTTGCCAGGTACCTGAGCTCAGTGGAAGGTCTGGACACATCGGATCCCCTGAGAGTTCGACTTGTTTCTCATCTCAGTACCTGTGCCTCTCAGAGGGAGGCAGCCGCCATGACTAGCTCTATGGCCCACCACCATCATCACCCTTTACATCCACATCATTGGACAGCTGCTTTTCACCATCTTCCTACAGCCTTGCTTCAACAGAATGGACTGCACACCTCAGAAACCACCCCTTGTCGATTGTCCACAGCGTCAGAAGTGCCTCCCCCTTCCCATGGCTCAGCTCTTCTCACAGCTACTTTTGCTCATGCCGACTCTGCACTTCGAATGCCTTCCACGGGCAGCGTGGCTCCATGTGTTCCGCCCCTCTCTACTTCTCTCCTGTCCCTCTCTGCCACTGTCCATGCTGCGGCTGCAGCAGCCACAGCAGCTGCTCATAGCTTCCCGCTTTCCTTTGCCGGGGCATTCCCCATGCTCCCACCGAATGCAGCAGCAGCAGCAGTAGCAGCTGCAACAGCCATCAGCCCACCTTTATCTGTGTCAGCAACTTCCAGTCCCCAGCAGACAGGCAGTGGAACCAACAGTAAACCTTACCGACCCTGGGGGACTGAAGTTGGAGCTTTTTAATATTCCCCGGAAGCTTTCTACTAGACTTTTGGCAATAGTAACTGAATGTCCTTCATTTCAGAGTCAGCTTTAAGGCCTGCACCCTGAAGGTAGCAGCCATGACAGATGCCTGAAAAGCCATCAAGAAACAAAAAACACTGTTTTTAGACACAGATCTCACAAGAAGAAAGGATATATTGCCTGTTTTCTTCTTTGTTTTTGCTTTAGGCATCTTGTTAACTAACATCAGTGAGCTTTTGAAAATGTCACATTCTTTTTACCGTTTAAAAGTTTATGAGGGAAATATACAGATTCTAGAGATAATCTTCCAGCTACACATCTTCATGTTTGTGGGTTAGGAAAGAAATACTCCATGGAATTCTCCAGAGGCTGGATGAAAAAGAAAAAACCACGATTTAAAGTTTCATAAGTGCCTGAGCTATTAAATATTTTCTTCATAAAGGAATAACATTGCACAAGAAAAGAAGGTAGAGAGGTATGGGTTAAGAAATGAGAAGGGAGGGAGTACTGCATTAGGCTGCAGACATTTGATACATTTCTAGAGAAGAGTGCACTGTTAAAACCAACAGATTTATTTAGCTAAAAGAGGTTTCTGAGAAGTAATTTTCAGGTTGAAAGGCCTAGTTTTATCTTACCTAGTTTACTTTCTTTGTACAGACTTGCCAAGTGGTGACATTTAGCATAGCATTGGTATAAGCAATTATCCTATCAGTGCTTGGATTAACAAACAATTCAGCACCACTTGCAAGCCTTCAGGCGCTTTTTTTTAAAAATTGGCTTAAAACGTGGTGCTTCTTTATTAGTGCACCTATGTGTATGTAACTGCCTACTGAGTGCCCACTGGAGAATATTTGATTCATGCCAATACAAAAAAAAAAACTTCTTTGTAAGATGTTAAATTAACTTATTTAGTTGTATTTGGACTATTTTTATATATATTATATATGCTTTTCATTGCCTCCAGATAACATGCAAAATTTTTCTGTCACCTATGAGGGAGATTGTAATTTCTGGGGACAACAGATGATGAGATGGGTAGGGAGCATTAGGAAAAGAAAAGGCACTATTTTTTTTCAAGTTGCTCTTTCCCAAATTCACCAATTTCATTTGATTCCAAACCAAGATGAATGTATTCAATGTCATGCCAGTAAATTATTTTATGTCCATTCCCAGACAAATAGTGCTACACAATGGTGTTTTGGTTTGTTTTTTTGCTTTTGTTTTATGACATAAAATAATCTCTTAATACATTAAATCAAGCACGTGAGATTTTATGTTTTGGAAAATAAAGACACAGCGTGTATTATGCACTTGATTTCTCTGCTGTGTGGAGAAAGCAATAAACATTATGAGAATGTTAAACATTATGCAAAATATACTTTAAAATATTTGTTTTAAAAATACTGTACCTAGTCTTTGTTTTTACATTACTTTGTAACTTTTTTCTATGCAAAAATCTTTACATATCACTAATTAAATGAATTCCTTTTTTGACTGTTGTTATGGATAAATTGAAATTGTTTGCCACTGCAGAATGGAAAAGCTTAGGTAGATTAGAAATTAGGCCTAGTTTCCCAAACAATCTAAGCTAAGACTTTTCCTCTTCCTAAATCATTTTAACTCATTTTTATTGTAATTTCTTGAACCTAAAACTTCCAAGCCTACCTGAACTCAGGACAGCATTTGTTTCCTAGGCTTCTAAATTTAGCATCACTGATATGACAGTATTGTGGAGTATGAACTGATTGGTTCTCTACACTATTATTCCTACCTGTTTTTCAGAAAAAAAAAGATGTGTGCTAGGCATTTCTTCTTAGAAATAAATTGCAGAAATAAACCTAATAGAAATAACTTAAATGCAGTACTACAAAGAATATATCTAAAATCATGTGTCTCAAAGGTCATTTGTAGAGGGGTTTTTTAATATGCATACATACACAAAAGACGCTATGCTTCCCTTTTGTGCTTTTCTGAAAAGACACCGTAGAACCATAAAAATATCATTGTGGGTTTCCTTTCCCTCTTTGCTGCATTGAAGCCTGGGAAATATATTACTGATTTCAGGGAAATAATTTAAACAATGCAAAAAGTGAATAGAATGAAGAGGGTTGTTTCTTCCTTTTTATTTCTATCTTTGCTAGTAAGTACACATCAGTATATCATCTTTAGTTTTTCAGGTTCAACCTAGTATTACTAAAGTTTCCTAACATCTGTACCTGGATCCATCCATTTTCAGAATTGGTTCCAGATTTATGTTTAACCCAATTGTGGATATGATCTAAATTCAAGTCAACAAACATTTCTCAAAGCACTCCTTGCCAGATACTCAAAGGTGCAAAAAAAAAGGGTGATAGTGGAGGTGGGGTGAGGGGTCTGCTGTCAAGAAATTTAGTTTAATTGGGGAGAAAACATGCAAACAGTTTTGTACAAACAAGACATAAGCAGGATATGTTGGACATGATCTCAAGAGGGAAGGCAGTAATATTAAGGGAAACTGATACTGGTTTCTTGCAGAAAGAGAGGTTTTAGCTAAGATTTGAAGGACGCTAGAAGGTAAAGATGGAGAGAATTCCCAGCATGAGAGACAGCCAGTGAAAATGTAGTCTGGAGATACTTGTACAAGGAGCAGGAGAGTGTAAGAAGACTGGAAAGGTAGGGAGGGGTCAAGTTATGAAGAGCTTTAGAAGCCACACAGGATTTTATATGTGATCCTCTGTGGGAATTTTTTCAGATTAATCCTATGCAGAGCTCATCTGTGCTTAGTAGTTCATGTTGTCTGTCTCATCATACTTTGAGCTTCTTTGAAAGTAGGGACTGTCTTTTGCCTTTCTTTGTATTCCCACAGCTTAGCACAGTGCCTGGTCCATAGGCAATTAATAAATGTTAACACTGACTGATTTCAGAGACAATAGGAAGCCACTGTAGTTAACTGGATAGGGAAGCAACATAGATCTGTGATTTAGGAAGGTCAATTTGATAACAATTCAGAATGGACTAGAGTATGGAGAGACAAGGCAGTAGGGGGAACATGAAGGTTATACAGCTGGCTAGTTCACATTGTTTCAGTTTATGAAATATTTTTCATAAAGGGAATGGAAGGTTTACCCTCAGCTCTGGTTTGTGGATGACGCTGGGCCATGAAGTAAAATTGAGTTGCATGCTCCAGCACTAACATCATTAGAATGACCTTATGATAGTTTTAATGAGAAGGATGGGGAAGAAGTGAGGAATACAGTAAATTTCAAATTACAAAATGGATTTGATATAGGATCTAAATATTGCTTTTTGAAAAACCAAATCACAACATTCAAAATTTGAAACTTTTATAAGGCTGCTAAGCACCCACTTCTACACCTTCATTAAACACAAAAGCCAATATTAGTAGATCTGACCAGTTACTTAAGAGACCTCTGATTGGCACAGATGTGAGATTCATGTTCACTGGTTTGACATCTCACCTGAAGTCAAAGCATTACAACAAAGTTTACAGGAAGCCAGGGATTCTTTGAATTTTATTTCCAGGGCCCATCATCACTTTAGTGGCAACTAAAGTACTTAACAGTGTAGTTAGAATCTCTTGCTGACCAGCCACAACTTATAATCAGAAGTGCCTTAACTGATCCCCAAACCAGGAGCTACTTTGAGAAATATATTGCCAGCAAATTACTTGTCCAGGGAATCATTTTCATTGAACTCAGACACTGATTTATCTTCCTTAAACTCAAGAGCCAACATTAATAGGTGATCTTGAGCTTTTTTTGGTCCACTCCCTTGTGGTAGTAACTAATAAGTAACACAAATGCCTTATTACTTAAAATCACTTAGCATTGGTTGATGCTATCAAGTCAAGATGCCAACTTTTAATGGGTTCAGCGATTTCTGATACCCTTTTAAGGCATGGTATGCCAATTATAAAGACAATTAAAGAGAGATCATTGTTCTAGCTGATTCCATCAACCAACAGCATGAAAAGTATTTCTAGACAGTGAATTAAATTTACTTTCACAAAGACTTTGGTTATGAAAGAACTCAAATGACCTCATTGAAATGTGGTACTCTCTTTGCTTACTTCCATGCTCCCTACTTTGGCAATCTTGCTCTTCACCACTCTACTAAATTTCTTGAGGTTGCCTCTGCCCAAAAGATATTTTCCCTCTAGAGATCAACATAACATCAGGAACTCAGTTTAGAAGAATCTATCTCAGACAGTATCAGGAGCAACTATGTTTTGCATTCCAGGGAAAGATCATTAAGCATTTCTTTTTATTTATTTATTGTTTAAAATTAATTTATTTTGAATTATGAACAAACATTTCCATAAGCTTTTGAGTTTTAAATTTTTTTTCCCCTCCCATCCTACCTTCTTTCCCAAGATGGTGTGCAATCTCATATAGGCTATACATATACATTCCTATTAAACATATTTTCACATTAGTAATGTTGTAAGGAAGAATTAGAACCAATGGGAGGAACCACCAGAAAGAAGGGAAAAAAACACAACAGAAGGAAAAAAAATGGCAAATAGTATGTATGCTTCAATCTGCATTCAAACTCCATAGTTCTTTCTTTGGATGTGGATAGCATTTTCCATCATGAGGCCTTTGGAGATGTCTTAGATCCTTGTATTGCTGAGAAGGGTTAAGTCTATCAATATTAGTCGTCACACAAGGTGGCTGTTACTGTATACAATGTTCTCCTGCTTCTGCTCACTTCACTCAGCATCAGACCATACAAGTTTTTCTAGGTTTTTCTGAAGTCAGCCTGTTCATCATTTCTTATAACACAGTAGTATTCCATTACATTCATAGACCACAACTTGTTCAGCCATTCCCCAATTGATGGGCATCCTCTCAGTTTCCAATTCTTTGCCACCACAAAAAGAGTTGCTATAAATATTTTTGTACATGTGGGTCCTTTTCCCATTTGTATGATCTCTCTGAGATACAGCCCTAGAATGCTATTGCTGGGTTAAAGGGTATGCACATTTTTATCATTAAGCCTTTCTTATCAAAGCATAAGAAGTGGCCACCCATGGACTCCTCATCTGCTCTACTGTACCAATACACATAGTCATTACATGATATTATATACTGTGACCTTCAGAAAGCTGGGCTTTTGAAGGTTTTTATATTAGATTTAGAACCAGATTTCAATGAGATTGTGACTAAAACATGAATAGAATGCCACCAAGACTGGACAGTCGAATACGATTCTGCATAAGTAGGAGAATACAGGCAATACCTACCCTGCAAAAGTGAAGGTTACTTTGTCAAAGCCCTGATAGGGAGAAAACTAAATAAAAATGACAGCAATAATAACAATAACTAACATTTATATAGCATTTACTATGCTCTAGGCACTGTGATAAGTGCTTTACAGTTATCTTATTTGATTCTCACAACACTGGCAAGGAGGTGCTATTATTATCTCTGTATTACAGTCAAGGAAACCAAGGCAGACAGAGGTTAAAAAGTAACTTGCCCATGATCACACAAGTAGCAAGTGTCTGAGGCTGTGTGTGAATGCTGGTGCTGGAATTTTGAGTGTCCTTTGGAGATCAAATCAGTCAATATTTAAAGAAATTAATTGACACTATTCTTTGGAAGGTCAAATACTGAAGCTGAAGTGTAAGCTTAAATACTTTGGCCACATAATGAGATGACAGGACTTATTGGAAAAGACCCTGATGTTGGGAAAGATTGAAGGCAAGAGGAAAAGGGGACAGCAAAGAATGGGAGGAAGAGAGAGTGTCATGGACACAATGAACATGAACTTGGACAGACATAGGGAGATAGTGGAGGATAAAATGGCCTAGTGTGCTATACAAAGAGTCCAACACAACTGAATAACTCACCACCAACAACAACAATAATAACTACATCCTGACTCCTGGCTAGCACTCTATCCACTGCCACCTAGCTGCTTCTAAAGATAATATAAATTTACTTATGACTACCTATCTAGGATACTGGTTCCCAATAATCTAATCATAGTGCTAGTTCTGAAAGACAGAAAACTTAAAGAGAAGGTATTTCTCAAAACAATTCCTTTGTATGTAAATTTGTCAAGTAATATGTGAGGCCTCCAAGGTATAGAAGCACATTTTATGCCCTTACATGAATATGCACTGGATGACAGTGAATGTAACAACTTTTAATTATCTTCTGGATATGATGTCAGTGGCAGCTTCAAGGTCATGTTCCTTTGTGATCAACTTGGACTATTCATCATGGTGTAATGCTTTGCATCTAGGGCTTTAATATCCCTTCTGTCATGAGCTTGATAAAATGTTTGGGTCACCCCACTCTTTCCATACCGAGATTTCAATGCCTTATTTTACTCCATTTATAATTTAGAACTGATTTAACCCACTGAAACAACTAAGTGATTTGTCTCTAACGTATTAATTACATTGTGTTTTAAAGAAGCAGAGATGATAGGGGAAGCAATGAAGAAAAACTTCGTACAATATTGGCATCTTTCTGTGAGATCTTAGTGC